GTTTGAATATCTATCAATAGAAGTCATCTTTAGATTGACTTTTTTGGCTAAATCGCCTATTAAATAAAAGTTCCAAAAGAACTGAAAAACTATGATAAACGGTGATACCGAAACTTTTTAAAAATAAAAGTTTTATTTCGGTTTCAACCCCTGATTCAATTCGTAGCGATCAAGAGTTATCTAATAAAATACCGTAAAAAACATGAGGTAAATATATATTTTTTTCTACATTAGTTAAGGACGGATATTTCGGAAACTAAGCGAGGTAGCGAAAAATTACATATAATTAATCATATTGAAAATTTTATAAGATTTAACTTTGTATAGAATGTCTTTGTCGATGCGGTGGATAGTTTTCCTGATGTAAGTGAAAACGTGAAAAACAGCTACAATCGTGAGTCAATTTTTTTTTTTTTTCAATATCAGCTATAGTTGAGGACGGATATCTCGGAAACTAAGCAAGGTAACTGTTTAGGGAACATATGAAAATTCATATTTAAATTTAATTTGAATTAAATCAAGAAACCACATCACAGCTGTTATCTCGAACATACTGCATATATACCTCAGTTGTTATTGTGACGCCACCATGACTCAAGCGTAGACGCTCACTTAGCGTGAGAGATTCACGAGACTGGCCAGTTAGAAAATTCGTTATTCCACTGATTTGATGAAAATGGAGTAAAAAAACTACATCGGCCGGCAAGGGGCCAAGAAAGGAAGAGAGAAAAGATGAACAGGAAGACTGGCAAATAGAAGAAAAGAGAAAATGCAAGTATCCCAACTCACCAATATTTAACATCCGTATAAAATTACATGTAATAAAATAAAGTAATCAATTTTACATATTCACTTCTTTAATCCGTTAACTCCTCTAATTTTATAGTCCACAGCAATAAATTATCACCAGCTCTGAAAGCAGAATTATTATGGCAATATCCCAGACAGCCTTGGAAGGGATTGGCATAGTTAATTAAACAGTGACAAAAAAAGTATATAATGAATCATATTGCAAATTTTATCAGCTTTAATTTTGTATGAGACGTTTTTGTCGATGCGATGGATAGTTTTTCTGATATACGTGGAAACCCAAAAAAAGTGACCTAGGCGCCCCTCACATCTGGCTCTCCACCTAGGAGTGGGGACTTTTAGTATGTTTACCTCCTTACTAGTCCAAACAATATCTCAAAGTCAAAAATTGTCTCCCCGCCATTTCCTTCTATACCCGCTTTTTGAGCATTCATTGACTGGACTGTACACTCTTACATGAAAACAGGGAAGAGAGTATATATATATATATTTTTTTTATCGATCAGATTCATATATTGTTATAAATGTGTTTTTATTTATTATTTATTTATTTATTTTTTTTTAGTTTTTATTTAATGTTATATCAGTTTGATTTATTCTGTTACTCCAAGTTTTATTTTATTTTATTTTCTTATAATCTTGTTGTTCTTTTATTGTATATATGGTATGATTGTACTTCATTCATCATAAATACTCAATGCCCAAGTATACACAATTACACAATGAGGCAAAATGTATTTTTTCTTTCTCTCAATAAAAAAAAAAAAAAAAAAAAAAAAAAAAAAAAAAAAAAAAAAAAATTCATATACAATCCTTAGAGCTTTCCGAAAACGATAGTTTTAATTTTTATTTTCATATTAAAATATCGTAGGAACGATATCGATAGTCAATGATATCGAAGCAAATGCAATCGATAGTAAAATATTATCGACTATCGATGACCAACCCTCCTTCATGGTTATTTTCGGCTTTGCCCACGTCCTCAACCTATAGCGTCCCTTAAAGAGAAGCTCCGTACGTTCTATACTGTATTGTTTTTGTATACTCCGGTGACGGTACATATTTAAAATTATCCCGTAAATATGCGTGTCCTTTAAAGAGAGAGAGATACCCTTATCAAGAGGTATCACTGTATCGAGATAACGTTTTAAATATATCCTTAATAACATATTTGTTTGTCGAAGCCAGTTATAAAGTTTATTTCTCGTTGAACAGGTTCCTTCATTACTTTTCATATTCAAGGTTAATGAGGTTAATTTATATGACAAAAAGAATAATGCTGTTGAAATTCCTGATTTTTCTTCCATTTGTTGTATAACTGTTACGATTCTCGTTAACGATTCATACGTAGTTTTTTTTTTTTTTTATCTTATTCGTTATTAATTTTACAGAAATAGTTTCACTATCTAATGAATTATAATAAAAATAAAAAAAAAGGAATTCGTTAATTTTTTATATTATTTTGATAAACAATTATAATTTTATTTCCATCGACTGTTATAATTTTATGAGTAATAAAGGATTAATTATTGAATGGTATATGCTTATATAATCATATGAATTTGAGGAAATTAAACACCTTATTTCATTTCTAATAAACTAATATCGATCCTTCTATAAAATAGTGAGGTTTTGCATAAGGATGAAAACTGATGCTGTTGTCTGAAAAAGAAAAGGAAGATGATATACGAGTCGAGGTCTGCGAAGAAAGGAAAGTTTCACAAATGGGGGGGGGGGGGGGTAGCTCTGCTGTTTACCCAGCTCACATCTTGTCAAAACACAAAGGAATGGAGATATCATCTAGAAAGTCATAAAATAATATTATCAAATAAAAATTACAGTTTTAATAATGTTAAACCTCACTGTAACTAATGTCCAAGAGACAGATTGTTGTAATACTCAATAAATAAAAAATAATGTTAATAAAAAATATATTATTTATTTCGTCAATTATCTAATGTAGAGACATTGTTGTAATCGATAAAGGAAACCTTCCAGAAATCTAACGTAATTTACAATCATAATCAATTCTCCTGTGCCAACAGCGGGATCCAGGATTTAATTCTACGGGAAGAGAGAGGTTCAGCACGATATATATATATTTATATATATATATATATATATATATATATATATATATATATATATATATATATATATATATATATATATATATATATCGTGCTGAAGCCATCCCTCCCTTTAGAATTTAATCCTAGATTAGCTACTGGTGTTTATACATATATATATATATATATATATATATATATATATATATATATATATATACATAGAAATAGAAAAATCATCTTTATTCTGAGACTAGGTCCCTTTAGAATAACAGTATTGTTCATATAAATTAACCATAAATCTGGCCAAAAGACTTATTACAATGAATAATAACAAAATACTAGTAATAAATTAAGTATTAATTAAGCTCTTAGGATAAATTAACGAGAACAGTTGGGTAATAGGGGTTCAGTACTACAATATTGGAGCTAAAACAATAGCATAATAATCAGTTAATGAAATTAGAAAGGAACGCAGTATATATACGATTCTTTATGGATGCGAAACGTGCCCTCTTACATAAACGGATGAGCAATGTCTGATGGTTTTTGAAAATAAAGTATTGCGCAAAATATTCGGACCGAAGACGGATGGATCAACCGGAGAATTTAGGCGGTTCCACAACGCTGAATTGCGTGAACTGTACCCGGTCAATATAATTGAGATGATTAAGTTGAGGTGAATAAAATGGGCATGTAAAATCGCCGGGCTTAGTAATGAAAGAATTCCTGAAAAGTTAATATGCGCGGTGCCAACTCGCAAGCGTCCGAAATGTAGGCCGAAGCGAAGGTGGGATGATTGCGCTAAATCTGATCTGGCAGGATTGGGTTTAGACAGTGCCCGTTGGATGGAAGATCTCGATTGGTGGTATCGGCATCGAGCCTTCGGGTTCGCTAAGCCGATTATTATTATCATATTAATCATTAGCACTTGGTGTTTATGTGAATTAAATAGGCGTTTAAGTGATCCTTGAATCCTATTAAGTTTAATTACACGAACTATAATTATTTAGAAATATGTATATATATTTTTATAAGAATATATTTTAAGCTGGACGGTATATTTCTTTGTAATATACCTTCAATACATAGTAAAAATTATTTTTTATGTGTAAAAAAAAATGGTTTTACTTTACTGCTAGACTTTTAGTGAAAAAGCGAACAGAGAAAATGAAGTTATATATTCATATAAGCACAATCATATGTTATTTTTATTGTTGATATCTTTCTCAAGACCAGGAGGTATTTGAAAAAAATATTGAATTTTACGTTTCTCATATAAAGGCTATATAAAGGCTGGAACTAATAGTGATATCAACGCTTACACATCCGAACAATTAATTAAGTACCTTCTTTCCACCAACTCTTAGTTTTGACAAAGAACAGAGGCACAAACTTGACGACTGAGACACAAAATGCTTTTAACCGCAATTTTATGAACTTAGGCACAGAATTTCAGTTTTTTTCTAGACCGGAAGTAACGTATACAAAAACCTTAAATGGATGATAAATATTCATGACGCAGTCTTCTTTTATACATTTTTTTAAATTTTTTTATTTATGCCAACATTTGACTTAAACACCCTCAGTGCTCAAACCACGCCCTGAAGATGAACCACATGTTTGGATTGAAACGTTGGCATAAATAAAAAAAAAAAATTATAAAAAAAGATTGCGTCCTGAATATTTATCACCCATGATATGTAGAACAGTCGACAAACTTCAATAATTCAAAAAACCTTAAAGTTGAGTATCCAAGGGAGGGGGCATGGAAAAGGACAGAGGAAATGCATAATTATATATATACTTTTTAATAAGAATGAATACGTAGCATAAAAAAAAAAATCTTTAGTTGTTATTCTATGCTGTCTCTTTTCATAATTTCTAAAGCACTGTATCATGGACGAATACGTACAGAAGTTTTAGGTTGTAAGACGAAGAAAAACTTTTAGGTTGTAAAAATTGTTTAGGTTGTCAATGGGTTTACTTTAATGAAGATTGTCTAAATGAATCTTCTAAACAGCTTCATGTGCTGTTTTCACTTTATTTGCGACGGAAGCAAGTGCATTGAAGCCGTATGAGATGGAAGATAAAGAAAGGAAGTAGAGACGACGAGTGGGGATGATGGAGGTGGCGGATCCTTATCAGGGGGGGGGGAGGGGGTCGGGTGATTTGTGCCCGGGACGTAATGGCATGGAAACAGAATTCACTCTTTCAAAATTAATCCAATTATAAAGGGTGAGTTCGGTTTCAGCCGCTAGCCACCGATGAACTACCTGCCCTCTGCCGGCTGTGGCTTTCGACCCCTCTCCCCCTCCCCCTCTTAGGTTCCGAATTCGAATACGAACTAAAGGAAATGGATAACTGGAGATTAACTCGGTTGATTAATTCAATCAGGATTTGGAGATCTGGACTTCTGAAAGTGTCTATAAAAAGGTTACTTTGGAAATTATCACTGGGCTGTTGACCAACGTTTTAAGAAGCTACTCCTAATAGCGGATTCAATGTTGGGATGCTTCTTTTTTTTGTTTTTATTTTTATGGTGGTTATTACTTGACAAAAAAAACAATAGAACTATATTAAATGATGTTTAAGTAGTTCTTGAATCTCTCTTAAAAAAGGGATATTTCTGTAAAATTATTTTCTATTTTAGAGGGGCTTCAAACAGAGTAAAATAAAAGACACCGTAAATGGAAATAGTGAAGGATGATGAAAAAGTGAATTTTAAAATCGATGGAAATGCAATATTTTAGTTGTTAACTATATCAGTGACAGAATGAGGATTTAATTTCGGAGTGGATTTTTTATAGAAAGGTAATTATTTTGGAAGAAAAAAAAACTATATTAAATTATGTTTAAGTGGCCCTTGAAGGATGTTATAAAAAACTGTCAATTACATAACAATAATGCTTTTAGAGAAAATTTTTTCTTGACACATTTACATTTAGTTAGCACATTGCGTTGTATGTTGCGATTGCTTAACCATTTAGCTCAAATCACTGAGAAAACCAATTTTTTTTTTTTTTAAACTTATTTATTGAAAAATATTACAATCTGTCTCTATGACATTTATAATAGAGTTCACAGATCACATTCGCACTCTATGTACAACAAATAAAATAAATGATAACGAAAAATAATATATATACAATAAATAAGAATAAAATAACCAAAAAATTAATAAATAACAAGAACACATACACACCTATATACAATATTTACAATTTGGCGAGAGAACTCCAAACCAGACTTGTCCCTCCAACAGGGAAAAGTATGACTCCATGAGTTCCCTGCACTCCTCTCTCAACCGCGTCACTAGGGCTAAACCCAGTGAGAAAACCAATAAAAAAAAAAAATTATTTTTCCATTTTGGGAAGAGGAGCTTCAGTCTAAATGCCATCCCTACACCCGTAAATCCAACAGTTACTATACTATATTATACTTTACTATTGTAATATATTATACTGATAGAAATGGTTATACTAGTTTAATATTAACTCTTATTTCCATTTTATCTTCGTTCCATTTACCGATGTATGTTGAAACTTAGGCTAACAGAATGAACATAACCAAATCATGCAATGTCTGACTGTTGCCCACGCCCTCCTTCTAACTTATCCTTAAATTAGAATTACGGTCAATCATTTTCTTACCATGGCAAATAGTTGAATTATATCTGTTCCATTCGGAATGATCCTTGATATATAATATGGTATTAGCCATTGAGCCTAGTGCGAATCGATCATTAAAGACAGATATGTAAAAGAGAAGGATCGGGAATGGTGTGCCAGGGGGGGGAGGAGGTCCCCCGAGGAGTGAGCGAGGACAATGAGCCTTCCCTATAAATCCCAAACTCCCTCCCCAAAACGACTTTTTCTGTCGCTTCTTTTCACTTCCTAACCAAACACTGGCTTGAAATATAGTACCGCCTCTCCCTCAGTCAATCCATACATAATAAGAACAATCGAAAAATAGGCCATTCCTTCAATTTATAGTCCTTTCATTCTCTTTTATTATCTTCAACTCCTTCTGCTTGATTTAACATGAATGAGATTTACTGAAAAATTTGTCTCTGAAATGTTATTTCAAGATGAACTGTTTATTTGTTTTATTTATTATTTAAACTATTTTTTTTTCAATTTATTGTAATTATTTTATAGTTGTGCCAACTAGTGTGGATAGCCCCTGGTACCCTTTCCCCACACCTGCAGCGTCATGAATCTTAACGTTACTGCCTCACATCTTTCTTCTGCAGCTCTCCCTGTTGGCTGTTATATAAATATTTCATACTGCATCAATTATGAGGGTCCGTAATCTTTTTACCATTATGTTAATGATTTAATATTTCACTTACTTATTAAGCGTGAAACTTGAAAAACCGGCTTGAGCCCGCCAGTCAACAATATGTCCCTCTCTTTTTTATGATAATAGCAAACAGTAGTGGGCTCATGACTTAATTTTTTGTTGGGATATTATTTTATTTGTTTATGTTATTTACAGGAATTACGATACTTTTAGTGATACAATCTTTATATTTTCCTTGACATGTTCTTTCATTTAGTTGCTGAAGTACATGCATTATGCTAAAAAAAAAAGAAAAAAAAAAAGAGTATATTGTAATTGTTTAAGTATTTCGCTCAGATCAGTCATAGAAACAAAAATGGACCAATAAAATAAAATTAATTTTCAAATTTTTTTTAGGGGGGGGGGAGAGTTTATAGTTCGAAAACCCCTCCTTCCTGAATCCGTCAGTGATTGCATGAAATTTCTCTAAAACTCAGCTGCCTTTTCGTAAATTTTAACACAAATCGCCCAGATCTTTTCTTCAAATTTGAGTGAATAAAATGGAAATATATTCCATATTAAATGAGGCATATTAAATTAACACAGTTCTTTTGTTTCTAAAATATATACATATATTATTGATTGCATATTTACGAAGTCGTCTATTAATAAATTCAATTCCAATAATACATCCAGATATAAAATTAACGTTTTTCATCGATGTACAAGAATACTTGTTATCGAACAGAAATAATTTCAAACAAGCCGTAAAAATTCAATAGTTCAGTTTTTATAACTTGAAAAAAAAAAAACATAATATTTCGTATAATTTACTGAAGGCTTAAAATATCTATAGGAATCGAATTTTCCCTGTCACTGTTCCTTAAGTGTTACATATTATTTAACGCGTTTTATAAATAAAATAATCCCGGTACTAGTTACAATATATTTATGTGTTGATCCCAGAGAGCTAAGGGAAGACTGACAAAGATTTTATTTTTAGAGCCAATAAGTCTAGTCAAGAATAAACTAAGGCGTACCACAGAATGCATTACACTTCCGTTATCTAGTTTGGATTGCAGTAGATTCCTCTTTTTGAACCAAGACCAAACTATTTCATAATATTTGTATGCAGATTAATAAGTTTTCAGAAACCAGATTTGGCATAAAAAAGTTGTTTTATTTAATTTATAATTTTCAATTAATATTGAATGAAATAAATATTCAGTGTGTATGACAAATTTAAGTGAAGACTAAACTAAACAAACTATACTATAAAATATTCTCTTTGTGATTGATTTTATTTCATTACTAGTACAAAATGATTCGGTGAGATCAAATCATATACATTTTCTATAGATATACAAAATGTTTCGGACTTTTCGAACGTATGGATCATTTTCGCCCTATCTTACAAAATTGGTTGGAGTTGCGATTCCAGTAAGCTTAAAAGTATTTATTTTAAAAAAATATTTAATCAACAACAACAATAATTGTATAAAAGTTAAGATAAAATTAAAATCGATAAAACTATAAATACGATGTAATTAATTACAAAAAAATTAAAAACTCCAATAAGACATTTTACAATTAATTGCCAATACAAACAATCAAAATTATAATACAGTTAAAATAAAAATAGTTTCGAAACACAAAGAAGTAACAAATACTATTAAAATTAAAATTGTAGCTAAAAGTTGAGGTTAAAAAAGCAAATATAATAAAGTTACACAATTAACACTTAAATTTCAAATTACGTTATATTTTATATATGTCAAATTATTATTTATAGTTTATAATTATATTAAAAAAGCTTACAAGCTTATGATTTGCCAGGTTTACAATATTAGAAATTACATTATTGAAATTAATGAAATAATTTGGTTACCTTAAGAGAAGATAAAAATCAATGATTATTAATTAAAGAAAGTTGCGATTGTTTGGTTTCATGAGAAAAAAAACTGATGAAGATCATTCATCATTGCCATTTTAACCGAAACAAATATTTAACTCATTACTTTTCAAACAATTATAATATCAGATTAAAAATAAATAAAAAACAATAAACAATTTAAATAATAATAGTATGGTAGCAAATTAATTATATTTTTTTTATTTTTCAATGATTTGATTTTTTATGATATTAAATTTAGTTATTTCTTACATAAAGAATAAAGTTTATTTAAAGTATCTCTAAATTAAAAAAAAAAAGAAAAATGTATTTAAGTATTATGGTTTATGGTTATTTAAGTATTAGGGCAGGGTGATTTATACGTGAATCATCTCGGTTTAGTTTCCTTAAACATAGTCAAAGATAATGAACCGTAGTTTAATTTTAGATTTCTTGCTTTTTCATGACTGAAGAACAAGTTTAGAAGGCATGTTTCAAAGTATTCGTCTGAAAGAAATGTGCAAGGGAGTTAAAGCGAAGAAATACATTTTATATTCTAAGGATTGAAAAACAACAATGTTTCTGTTGATCCTAGCTTGAACAGTCTTTGAACGATTGAAGTTTAAGGTTTCCACTCTCTAATTCCTACCCATCTACCCTCCCTCCCCCCCCCCCCACACCAAGCCTTTGGCCAAACAAAATTTCAGTATCTTACTTTATCCATCCGTTTCGAAAACGTGACCTCTAAATAGATATTTGTTTTGTATGTGCATGTAGGAATTTTTAGATAGTTTTTCAAACACTTTTCTAACTTCGCTTTGGACCTGAAGAAGACTCAAAATTCAAAACGGAATTTTTGTTTCTTTCAGGATGAGTTCCATCCGTTCATCGAGGCTCTGCTGCCGCACGTGAAGTCCTTCTCCTACACTTGGTTCAATCTGCAGGCGGCGAAGAGGAAGTACTTCAAAAAGCACGAGAAGAGGATGTCACTGGAAGAAGAGAGGCGTTGCAAAGAAGAGCTTATGGTAAGTGCTCATGGATGGTGCTGAGTAGTGTTTAAATTTATGCTACTTCTCACATGCAGTCGTAACTACTAAAACACATGTTCCATAAGAAAACATTTTTCCAAACAGATAAAGATTTTATCTGTATAACATGATCTAACATGATCCTGCATCGTATGTCTGTATTGCTGCGTTCTCTCAAAGTCAATAAGATAACTATTTCTTTAAAATTGTGACAAACCAAATAAATTAATTATTATTGGTAAATTAATTTTGCTTCATAACATTATTGCAATCGTACTAAATATTTACGGTAATTTTAACTGAAAATATTTAATTTTTTTTCTAATGTACGGGACTCCCTGACAGATTTTTTTTTGTTTTTAATTTAGAAAAAAGGTTAATAATTAGATTAGACCAATAATAAATAAGATTAGGTTTGTCTTACCAAGGATTAGTTCCATTTTCTTAAATAAATATGTACGTTTTTTCATTACCATGTTTTAGTAATATTTTTATAGTCCATAAAATTTGTACGAGAATAACTAAAATCTTTTACTAAATATTTATTTCATTCATAACATAATTAGTGCAAAAAATAAATAATTATTTTGACATTTTTTTCTGGCCTATAAAATGTCATCCGGATTGACGGCGCTGTGAGCACGGCAATTATCAAACAAAAGATCTCAGAAAGTAAATTAATTCCTTGACGAAATAACAATGTACCCGAAATAATTTAATTGTAACAGTAAATATATCATTTAAAATACAATATGAAATTTAAATAAGAATCGTTGAATATATGAATCTTGCCTCTCGACCTCGAGTCATTTTTTCCCGAATGCATTTATATACATTTAGAAAATTACTTGGATTTGAACATTAGAAATCGAAACACCGAAAAAATATTGAATAGTTTTCGGCACCCACTTGCTTAAATTGTAAGTAAATACCGTACAGGTCCTTGAACTAACTACCCTGACTAATTTGTGGTACTTATCAATTAATTTTGAGCAATAAAACGAACTTAAAATGTCATGATTTGGTCGGTCCTATAAGAAAACTAATAATGCCTCTGAATGTTGCCTGCCTGTAAGTTTTACAATGTTTTCTAAACTGCTAGTTCTGTCTTGGTTTTAGTAGCAAATTACACACGGTTCCTTGTGAAGTTTATTTTCGATCATGGTCCGAAGCAAACTTTTTAGTATTTTTGATCTCTTTTTCTGAGAACAAAGAAATACATTCTGCGTAATTCATCAGCTCAAATAACTGCATATTTAGAAAACCAATATAATATATATAGTTATATCTTTAATATTTCGTTTTCCGTCACCCCCCCCCCCTCTAAAAGTAGCAGACTTTTTTTAGAATGGCTTTTATTATTTAAAAAAAAAATCTTTTCACACGAAAAAAAGGAGATAGGAAGAAGTTGGGAGAGATGCTGCCTTGGAGGAGTCAAGTGGCCGACTGGCTGTGGTATCGATTGTGCCAGTGGCAGGGTCGGCAGCGCGGCGCCGCTCGGGGGCGGGACAGGTAGCTACCGCCCCTCGACCGCCTTCAAAGGTTAATCCGCCGCCTAGCCTTGATTAACCTTTCCCATGCAGAATTTTACCACTGATAGGGGAAAAAAAGATAAAAGACTTGAAAAAAAAACCTCTATTCTTCCATCATTAAATTATTAGTTTACGTCAAAATCCCCTCTCTCGTCCAATCTTTACAAACCAAAATCCTTCGTAAAATCCTCAATGCTCTTTACTTTGTCACAAATAAAATAATCCGTAAAGACCTCAATGTTCCATATGTTTACGATTCGGCCCAATTCAGATACTTATCCTTCCATAATAAACTTCATAACCATCCGAATCCTCTTGTTTCTAACCCTGCTTCCTCTTCGATTTCTGATAACCCTCCAAGGCGTCTGAAAAGAAGATGGCCTCATGATCTCCTCATGTGGACATATTATTAGAGTACTTCCAAGCGTGTTTCATGTGTTAAATTCGTCTGTACACATTTACTTGATGTATTTATACTAATACAGTTGTGAATATCATAATAAAAATTAAAAAAAAAAAGGAGTCAAAATCTGAAAATCTTTAAGTTCATCTCCATAAATTGTCATATGAGAAAACTCTTCAGAAATAGAAGAATCCCTATTGTAGAGGTTTTACAATATTAATATTTACGCTCTCATGGTCACGGGGAGAAACTAGGGGCCCCAAGGATGATTGTTCCGGGGTTTCTATTACTAAAAACTAACCTTGTCGTTCATAATATTTGCAATAAAATATTATGTAAAGACATGTATTATTTAATATATGTAATGTTATATATATTTTATTTTAATACAAATAAATTCAAAATTTAAAAAATAAAACCTTGTAAACCCGGCCCCTTTCAATATCCGGATCCTAGGACCAAGAATATAAGGCGTGAAAACATATACTCTCCTCTAATTACGTTGTTGATTAGATGACTAATAAATTAAAAGTAATTTTTTTTTTACTTTCCTCTTTTTATTAAATGTTATAAAAAAATTAACGATCGTTTGTTCACTTAAATAAAATCATGTATAAAAAGAATACTTCATATGATGTTATAATGAATTAGTCTAATAACTATTAGAATATAATTTGAAAATTCCGAACTAAAAGTCTCGGGTCTCTGATATACAGATAAGCAACTAAACAGACAACTTTTCTGATGCCGCATGAATATAAAAAACGTTGACATGTTTGTGCAAAACATTTTAGAGGCTAGGGGCTTTGTGTTTGAAATTTAAAAATTAATTTATGTCTCTTATTAATCTTTCATATTGGTCTAATAATTTAAAATTTTTTATATAATATTATACCCATGATTAATATAGATTAATTTTTGTGTTATATTTTCATTTTTACCTAATTATTGTGTTCAGTTTGCATTTGGTTTGTTTTTTATAAACTGAATTAATCGTCTCGTCCACTTAAGTGTTAACTTAGTGAACTAGCTTTCTCGTTCCAGACTAGGACATTTAAACGAGGTTTACTGATTTATTATTTCTTTAACTATATTTTTAATGCTGAGCAGACATCACGAAAAATTTATTTATGAAAGAGTTACTGAGAGCCCTATCAATAAAATGGCTTATGTCCAATTTCAGACTTGACGATTACAGATTGAATAAGTTTCACGAATGGTTCTCACGAATCGTTTCACCCTCTATTCTCATGTACAATGAACGCTCTTGCTAAAACGGATCATGCATACAAGTATTCTTATGATTCTTTAAACTCCTTACGTATAAACACAAAAAACCGGTTGCTGTCAATCAAGGTTTCATAAATTTATTATTTATTTTTATAGTTACTTTTACATTTTTTCACGTTAAAAAGGGGGCCAGTTGATCCAGCTTGGGCATCCTTCACCCAGTTACACCCATGTTGAAATTAGAAAGAAATATTTTAAGTGCTTCATTGACCAAAGGAAGTGCAGATGATTAAAATAAAGTTTCTTCAGGTACTGTGACATGGATGCTCTACCATTGTTCTCAAATAGAACATCGCGAAATGTAACGGAGCCGCGTGAAGTGACTGATGAACTGAATGCAGCCACAGGTTAGAACCGTTATTAATGAAGGTTGGTTACGTCAACAGGTCTGTTGGCTACGCAGGACATTTAGGTTGGCAACACATTGGAGGCTTTCAGAGATTGACAGTCTATCTCTTTACATTCCAACCGAATCCCCCGAACTTTAGCGTTTTTTTTTTTCTCCTGTCATCATGTTACAAGTGCGCTCTAGTATTTCTTTTATTTTTTTTTTTTTTAACAGCTATGTATATTATTTTATTTATTTTTATAAACATATCAATATAAATTAGTAATAACTCACCAAGGGGTAGAAACCAGATGTAAGGTTGATTGGAAAAATCCAACCAAGCATGCCTGCTTCTTCAAAAATCCAAAGAACAAAATAACCCGTCAATCAAGTCATCGTTTGGACCACCGATCATATGGATGTATATTACTGCACAGAATTAGTCATTTTTGATTGGCTAAAGTATATAAATAAATTTTTCACTCGATAAGCAACAAACTAGAATATGATGGCAATACCACATTCATGCAGTAGATAGTGCATGGATAGCCATTCCATATTTACTGATGACATCCATTGCATTCAAACTAATGCTAATCAAATTATCCATGTATATAAAATTTAATTTAACTGTTTAATTATCTATTAGATACAAATTACTTTGAACATGTTATATTTAGCGCTCAAACTACCTACAATTAGTTTCTAAATGATTCCGATCCACCGAAAGCGGTTATAAGGAGTATTGCTTAATTTCAGAAATTATTCCCGGTAACTTGGAGTTGAGTATATTTAGGATTTTGGGCATTATGGTAACAATAAAAATTAGGCAGGTATCGGCCCAAAGAAAACAAGACATGACTTTTATGTGACAGATTAATTAGTAATCCATTCATTTGGTTGAATCGCCATGGTTGTATCTATATCAAAGGATAATGGTAAGCCCGGAGATAAGTTAGATTGCTGCAGCGGAGGAGCCAGCTCACCCCCACTCTTAATTACCAGCCCTTAGGGACCCTAAGCTATTAATTTTCCTTTCACAGAAGTCATCAGTTTTTTTTTTTAAAGTATATTTTTGAAATCCATTTTAGAAAGTGATATTAAATCATTTAAAGTTTTTCTCATTGATGTGAATAATATATATTTTTAACTCGTTTGTTCCGCCACAGACATTTAAATTGGCAGTTGTTTTTTATTCAAGGAGTAAGCATACACAATATTGACTTATCAGTATCAAGAAAAATAATTTGGATAACTTCATCACGCTGAGTGTTCATTTCAGATCAAATCTCGAATGAGATTCTCAGTTGTGGTCTCGACATATTTGGTGGAGACACAACAACTCGTGATTGCGTCGATCCGTCTCGACTTAAAAGTCAACTTTGTGGTGTAAATTTGTATTTTTAACTTAATTTTTTCAAAATATATTCACATCTGGGCCTAACTACTGAAATGACGTATGAAATCCTGCAAAAACAATTAAATAAAATGAATTGCTGGATATAAACGAAATGAATCAGAACATTGTGGACATATTCATTCCTGTTCTTGTAACATAGCTCTTCAAACAATGAATATAGGAAAGAGAAGACCAAGTCATGAGAATAGGAATGAACAGGTGCACATGACAGGTCCAGCGTTCTTCGGTGCCGGCACAGGCTTCTCACCAAGAAGTCGCTCAGGCATTTGTCCATTCCAGTCTCGATACTACACTTGACATTGGTTTGTCTCAAGTGGAGAATCAATATTATGTTGAATGCACCATTGCTACAATATAGGTATATCTTATTTATATATACCTCAACTCCCCCCACCCACCCCCCAAAAAAAAAAGAATGAGAAAAACAGCAATCTTCCACTCTAACTATTTTTTGGAGGAATGAGTTTACTACGGATAGATATTTGATAATTTAATCTCATTAAAAATCTGGGTTTAAAAAAAAATGAGCCCTTGACACTTCGAGGTACTTATTGCAGATACAGGTATATTATATACTTAGAAGCTCTCCTAAACATTTAAGCTTTTTATTTTATTCTTTTTTTAAATAACTTAATTTTATTTATAATTGTTTTATAATCGTCAGTAATGGATGATACAGATAAATCGATCCAAGATGGTAGCACTCTGTTTTCTCTTATAGATGATAAAAAGATATAGAAGGCAGATACGGTTGGATGGAAGCATTGGAGGATGCTCTAGATTGGCGAAGGTATTTAATGGCTAAAGGGCGCAAGATGTGAAGCAACCGGAAGCTCAAGATAAGGCGATATATGCTCAGAGATAAAATCGACTCAACACTTCTATCGACTTTCACGCTAGCTGCTTCTTCCTCTATCAGGCTTATTTTTCGGGTATCGTTCTTCCCAAGAAAGTATCCATATTGAATTCACGATTTACTTCTTGAATTGATGATTCACTATCAAAACTATGAAAGTTCTATTTGTGAATAAAAAATATATATACTATTCACATATTCCGAAAAATCCTTAAACAGTTCCTAAGATTCCGTGATTCGTTCCTACGAGCCACTCGTCATCTTACAGTTTCTTCCGTCATTCTTCCCCACTTTGGCAACGCATGCTTAGTGTATGGGGTACTATCTGACGAACACGAGGCAAGACTGAAAAAATTATTCATTTTTCGTATTCCCAGACGCTCTCACATCTCTCACCGGTATTCCTAGACTGATCATTTCCTAATTTAAGAATACAATGGTCCTTGTAGCCTTCCTATTTCAATCTCTGAGAACAAACAAACTATCCTATATTCATGAACTCTCCATCATGTGTTCTTCTGTGCACGCCTTAAAGACGGGACCTCAACCTTCCGAATTATATATACCCTCTCACAGAACAGATTCTTTTGATAAATTCGATCTACATTATTTTGGAATTCCTCCATCCGTAAAGCTCCCTTATTATTAACCTCATTCAAACACCATTTATGTATCCATCTCCTCAATTATCAATCTTCCTCACACATGTAAAATGTAAAGAAGAAATTTCCATGTAATAT